CATCTCCTACATAGATCTTGCGTGATCATAGGATTTTTTTTGAAATTGCATGCTACGTTCCCCAACACAAAATGTCACAGATGTGTCTTTTTTTTTGTAGTGTTGACTAGTATATGGCTAGAGTCTATAAGACAATATGCTTTCTAGATCATGTGATGTAACGAAAATGATGCATTTGTGTATGATACAACATTTGTACACGCGAACCTAACAGTGTGATACCGGTTCCTTGAAACTAGCCCGGGGACAGGCTGTCACAACCCTTCCTTTGGAAATTGCGCCATTCTTCAGTCTATGTGATTCCTTCCTCGATTGTTTTTGCCACTATATGTACTGATTTTCACTTGTGGCTTTGGTCAAGTTGGGTTGCATCGCTCCTACATTTTCCCTTTACGTCACCGCTAGTTCGACTAAGGGTCGCATGGGAGCACCTTTGTGATTGTGTCACCAGGTCAACTGGGCGGGTACCTCAGGTGGGAGAAGCCAAACACTAACCGTCACAATACACGAAACCATTCGGCATGACAAGAAGGGCCCGTTCTGAAGTCCTCCCAACTCCCCCAGCTCCAAAAATTCAGCTTCTCAACCTAACTTCTCGCTCCATGCAGCAATTCACGTCTGTTCTCCACTGAAAACAACTTCTCCATCGCCAACTTGGGTTTCATGTGGCTGTTGTGCCATGTTGGGCTGGATAGAGATCGTTAAATGGGCTGCATGTGGCCCAAAATGAAAGGAGAGACGTGCTGAGCATGTTTCCATGATGAAAAACGGTAGGAGTGAGATGAAACGAAGCGTTTTCGTCACTTGGCGATGGCAACCCTTGTATTTTCAGCCAACTCCAAGCTTGTGTGGATTTCTGAAGCTGCGATTCCCCAGCTTCTTAAACTCTTTTGTATTTACACTAGGATCGACAATGGCTTCTCGAAGCTAGCTTCCTGGAGCTAAAGCGCTCAGCTCAGCTCCACACATTTAGGTTGTGAAGCGTGGAGCTAGAGGACTCCAAAACAGGCCCGAAGTATTGAGATTAGCCAACTATGTTGACTACTGGACTTGACTTTAAGCAAGCCATTATAACCTACATCGGTCTTCGGCATTCCCAATGCCACGATGACACAACTAGGCCTCCCAATCGAGTCCTTCACCAGATCGGATAATGACTGTCTATGGACCCCGAAATCTGGTCCGAGGGATGCTATTGCCCTATAGCTCTCTCTCCGCCTTGTGTTTTGACCATACGACTGGATTGCCTGGCTTTCCTGCTGGCCTACCCCAAGTGACACTAGATTGGCTAGGGGTTGTTCTCATAAGCACTCGAAGCTTGCTTTTTGGCCGAGGAGGTTGAAGTTAAAAGCCAATTAACACAATTATTTAGATTCAGATCAGAACATTATTTTAATAAAAACCAAAACAACCAAAAACCAACGAGTCCCGCAGAATCGGCCCGGAAGTTGTTATAAGTCGACACCACAGGACGACTAAATTATCCATGCTAGCATCTCGTAGTTCGACCGACGAGTCCCACAAAACCGTCCTTAAGTGTGTTAACCCCACGCCATAAGATAGCTAAACTAGCCATGCCGACATCTCGCGGGTCAGCCGATGGGTCCCACAGACCCAACATGGAGGCTATTAAGGCTAACAAGACGGCTAAATTATTTCCATGCCGGCATCTGAAAGGTTGATCGACGGATCCTACAAAACCGGCCTGTGGACTACTTATGCCCAAACACTGTCTCAATTGAGGTAATTCCCAAGAGGATTCGGCCCTGCAACACAACATCTTCTCTGCCAAGCCGCACCACGGTGATGACAAAAGGCACAAGTGCTTAAGTGCTATAAGGTTCTAGGTGCATAACGGATTTTGAGCCGGTACACACCTTGAGGCCTTCTTGTGCCAAAACACCGTACTCGGTTGAGCTAGTTCTCGAGGAGATGCGATCCTCATGTCGGCCATGTTGCCCAACACGAGTCTCGGGGGCTACTATATTGACGATTCAATGTAGGATATTCAAAGTGCAATATGTTTTCTGAGGAGATTTTGATCCTCGGGTCGACCCCTCACGCTTGACCCGAGTCTCTAAGGCTACTACACACCGTGGATTTTTCCTAAAGTATGCTACCAAGCGAGAATTGGATCCTCAAGACGATTTTTGCGAATCGACTGAGTCTCGGGGGCTACTGGGATCAACGGTTTAATTTTATCCTTCAGGTGCGTACTGGATTTTAAGCCGACACACACCTTAAGGGCTAATAGCTATATATCTCGACACAAAATAAATTGCACCAATCGAAAAAATTATGCGAAAAATCAGCTTGCAGAAACTGGCTTAGCAGGATTTTTTCCATGGAGGCCGTCCATCTTCATCGACAACTCAAGACCGAGGTGGTGCGCACCACTTTAGAAGTAGTCCGGCTTGGAAGCCAGCTGCGAGTGGTTGGCTGGGGGGGGGGGGCTTTTTCGACGTGCAGCTCGATCATACTCCTCCAATATTTTTCAGAGACCGAGGTGGTTTTAGTAACCTCATATGCAGTCCAGCATCGTAGCTTGGGTGCAAGAATACACTGATTGGGGGAACTTCTCATTGAACTAGTTTCAAGACCGACAATTAAAGATGAAGAGCAGTTCAAATGAGTCGAGGTCCGACCAGACTTGAATACCGGTTCAGGGGATATCGACGGTGCCCCGTCTAGGGGGCCTCTCACCATGTCGACTCCCGGCCTCATGGACGAGGTCGAGGACACCTAGGTCGGTTCCATCCGGGGCCACTTTGGGTGTCCCATGGCGATCTACAAGTAGTCCTGCTATACAAGAAAATGACTCATCCGTGGAGGAGTCCTCTCCACCGATGTAGCCGACTAGGACTCTTGTAATTCTAGGCCTCCGGTAACTTATATAAACTGGGGTTGTGCTAGTCGATCAAATACATCTAGACAGACAATAATCACATGGTAGGGTAGATCATCTGTACTCTGTACTTCAATCCAAATAAATAAACACAAGCATGATGTAGGATTTTCTTTCTTTGGTGAGCCCGAACCTGGGAAAAACTTTGTGTACTTGTTACCGTAATGTCCGATCGTCTAGCTCGGGTTCCTACTCTGAGATCTGTTGGATTTAGCTCCGTCAGCGGCCACCCTACCCCAGAGTTCCACGATGGCGACAGCGGAGGAAGAGAGTGGGGGTGGAGGGAGGCGGGGAACCCTACGAAAAAGTTCAACACAAGGATGAGTTGGATATATATATAGAGAGGGGGAGGTGAATTACGTGTGATATGTTAAATCAGGGAGTTAAACTAGTGAGATTTGGTTTTTAGTGTGAGGGAGGCAAAACTAAAGCGTATGCATCGAACTATCGACACTCCTTTGACAGTGGAGATTTGTAATCCATGGATGAAAAAGTAAGAGAGAATTTCTTATTTAACACTGTTAAATTTTGTTTCCCTATTTGACATTGAAAAATATTTTTTTCCTTGTATAACATCAAGTCTAATTTTTATGCCCTTTATAACATTTTCGTCTATTTTAAGCCTTAAAGGTGTTAATTAACACATGAAAAGACCTTTTTACCTCTGATGTGGTATGTGATAAGAAAAATTCATAGATGCTAGTACGTGCTAATAATGTTCGGCCGGCTTGGTTTGTTGTATGCGGCTAAGTATAGCGAACTAGCTGCATGTGTGCTGTCCACTTGGTTCGGTTCCTAACTGCGTGAGCCAACTTCCAAAGAAAATCAATTAATGCTTAAGTTAGCTCTTGTGTACGATGTAACCGCTCTCCTCTCCGTAGATACGTATACTGTACAGTAATATCTAGTCCGTGCTTATTGATACTGGCCGATGCCATGCCAGGCACACGCATTAAATAATCTCTAGCTGATTAACCAACGAAGTACACATGAGTCCGGGGTCACGAAGAAGGACGGCGGCCGCTCACACTCCCCACTGCACAAAACGCGCCCACACAGCAAGTTGGCTCACGCAGCTATGAACCGAACCAGCTGGACAGCAAACATGCAGCTAGTCCGCTAAAGTTAGCCGCATACAACAAACCAAGTCGGCCGGAGATTATTAGCACGTACTAGTATCTATGAATTTTTTTATCATATACAATATAGGGGTAAAAAGGTCTTTTCATATGTCAATTAACACCTTCAAAGCTTAAAATAGACGAGAGTGTTATAAAGGGCATAAAATTTAGACACAGTGTTATATAGGAAAGAAAATATTTTTCGGTGTCAAATAGGGAAACAAAATTTAACACCGTGTTAAATAAGGAATTCTTTTAAAAAGTAAAGGGCGCGCTGAACGACAGTACGCTACAGCTGTGGCATGAAACGTGCCGTCGCAGCACATCTCAAGTGCGAACGCATCGCACATCTCCCTGCGGCGACCGACCGTCACGTAGTTAGACCCGTGTGCGCCGCAAGCTGCCAGCCCTCCCTATATCCTCTCTTCCCTCTCCGCTCTCGGGTTTCTTCACCATTAGATCCCACCGATTCCACGCTCCACTGATCCTGCTGGTCCGGCGGCTCGCCGCTACCGATTGAACACCCCAATTCGGCCCCCTCCATTCGGTCGAATTGGGAGGTTCTTTGGAAGCGCATCCACCCACGAATCGAGGTAATTGACTTATGCTCCACGCCCTGGCATTGGTTTCTTGCGTAAAGCTTGGATCTTTCCTTGGATTAACTTGCTGGACCGGCTTGTTGTGGAGTGGGCGTCGTCATGGATGTGCCTGACCCGAATCTTGGCGTCCTTAGCTTGTCGCTCACGGGGGAAAGTTTTTCTTCAATCCGTGAACTGTTTGTTGTATCTAACCGTGTCAAATGTCGACTTGCAGGATTGGAGCTTTCTTGCAGTTGCATTTAGGAATCATGAATAATTTGTTGCAAGACTGAAACGGGTGTTGAGGTAACTACTGGAGGAATTTGTTATTATGGCCAATGCCCTGATTCTGTCCGGGGCTTATGAGCTTGCTGAATATCTGAAGCACAAGTAACCATGGATAGAAAAGTCGGAGTGGTTTTAGTCTGCCTGCTCTTCCTACTCATTGGGGAAGTTTCGGCGGTTGCCCAGACCGAGGTTGGTCATGTGCGTGTAACACAGGAGGCACCAGATCTGAAGCTAGAGGATGCTGGTAGACATGATGTGTCCCAAAGTGGAAGGGTGTCGGTGTATGTTGTTGCATGGTCCACGCTTGCGATGGCTGCAGCAACAGGGCTGGGAGCAGTTCCCTTCTTTTTCCTGGAGCTAGAGGCCCAATGGGCGGGCCTTTGCAATGGGTTGGCAGCTGGGGTGATGTTGGCAGCAAGTTTTGATCTTGTGCAGGAAGGGCAGATGTATGGCAGTGGGAGTTGGGTTGTTTTTGGGATTTTGAGTGGAGGGATCTTTATTTGGCTTTGCAAGAAGGTAAATCTTGCTTCATACTCTTTGTCGTTTAGCGATATCATTGATCATTTACATCGACTAATTTATTGCCAGATATAAACAACTATTATAGTCGAAAGAACTAGTTAAGGCACCTACGATGTATGCTCTAGCTCAAGAAAAAACTTTAGTTTACTCCGAGATGGCTTTCTTCTGTCCAAGTATCTGTCAGCATGCTGATGGTTTAGCAGTATGAGCCTACTTACATAGTCTTGGATCCACAATTTTTGTAGCTGCCAGGGTTAAGTCTGAAGCGCAGGCAGTTGAAGGAAGTGCACTAGTCAAGTCAGCGGGATGTTTCAGTGAAAGAATTAAACAAAATCATTAGGTTTCATGATGAAGTGCCACGTCCAGCAGGCAGAACACATTAGTCTGCTCTGGCTGAAATTTGTTTATGTGGGCATTGTGCGAGCTGCTTAGATGCGGTTGGTATTCACAGCATTTATTCCAGTTTGGTGGACAAACCCACTTAAAGTGGTCAGCAGCATGCAGCTTCCTACGCGTGTCTCGTCTGATGTTTCTGTCGAGGGATGCTCAATGCTGGTCATTCCCAGGTTTTGGCCACACAGTTCGCGAACGGTAATACCTCCTGGCAGAGCAAACTTTTTTGGTGGTGCTCACTCGCCTCGAACGGGTGTAGAATGAGACCATATTTTCCTTGAACCAGCTGATGAACATCCGTCGGCATGACCTTGTACAGATCTGTTTCGTCAACGTTGAGCATCAGCCTCTATGCCGAGTGCATGCCCTTGATGGGCCCTGTACCGCTGGGAAGTGGTATGCTGCATACAGCTAACGTGGCAGGAAAGGAATGGCCACTGTAGCAGGAAAGGATGGACACGTATATGCAAAACCGTAAAGAGAGAGCTAGCTATATATACTCTATGTAACTACTCCCTCTGTCCCATAATATAAGAGCGTTTTTATGCTATACTAGTGTTAAAAACGTTCTTATATTATGAGACAGAGGGAGTACAAGTCTACACTCTACAACTTGGTACTGTTAGTGTGTTTTTTTGACAGAAAGTGATGGCGAATATTTTTTTTCAAAGGGTTTGTTAGTGTATGTTTGGTTGTACTGCAGCTAATGTTGAGTGCTCATATGCGGGCTTACCAGCTAACATTGTGCCTCATGTAGCTCCACCGCAACCGCAAGTGCCCACTTAACTTAGGAGTTGCCCACAAAGAGCCACTTCGTGATTATTTTGCTGGCGGGCTTGGCTTGGCGGGTCTATTGGCAGTGCTGCCATTTTCATGCCTAAGTAGGTTAATGTGAACATGGTACTCGTTATGTGTCTACAATAGTAACTACCCTCGTGTAGGCTTATCTTGCTTTAAAAGAATTAGACTGCTGATAAGATTATTCTGGTTACCTGAGCTGAAACCTTAAATGTCAATGCATTGCTGATGTGCATATTGCTGTGCCAGTTCAACGTTCTGAATTGCCACTAGAATAAACTTGTTAACCGCATTTAGCATCATATCAGCTCAGGATGCTAGCTGTGTTTTCAGCATTAGCGAATATATTTTGCTCCATTCATTTTGGTTATATTTTCCTTTAGATGATACAGTATCTTCCATTTCGTTGATCACAGATTCTTGAGCAACATGGAGAAGTAAGTATGTTGGATATAAAAGGTGCAGATGCAAGTAAAGTTATTCTTGTTGTTGGAATAATGACACTCCATTCTTTTGGCGAGGGTTCTGGTGTTGGTGTTTCCTTTGTTGGGTCAAAAGGATTATCTCAAGGTCTTTTAGTTACTATAGCTATAGCAGTGCACAACATACCTGAAGGCCTGGCTGTAAGCATGGTACTATCATCTAGGGGTGTCTCCCCACAAAAAGCAATGTTATGGAGTATCATAACATCTTTACCACAGGTGCGTTTTCTTTTGCTGTCATCGAGTGGAAATATGAAAGTATTATTTGATACACGCATCATCCTCATTCAGTCATGGAACATTCATCAATTTTTAGCTATATTAATTCCTTATTTCTTAACTAGAAAAATAATACTGAATCGGATAATCGGTTTGGCTCCCAGGTCCAGATGAGTCTGGAATCTGGACCCTTCATTCTTATTGAGATTGTTAACCGTAGCTGCATTCCAGTGCATATTCGTCCTTTTTACAAAAAAATTGAACAGTGGTAGGCCTCATGTACCAGACATTAATACGGGCTGCTCCATTTCTTCTGTGTCAGTACAGATAGCAGCTTGATGCTCATTCACCGCGTAGTACTCATACCTGGACCGACGTGGTGGTTTGCCGTGAATGCCAGCAGGTTCCCTAGTAATTAAAAGACCCAACCAGCCTCCCAGCTAACACCTTCTTCCTCCCCTGAATCTGGCTATACCGAGTCCATGGTGTCTTCTTCCTTCAGCGTTCTAATCATATACACCTTGTTAGGACAAGCTGTGTGGTCTTTAGGGTGCCTCCCCACTCTGCAAGAGCAAGTTGGACTCATCAACTGACATGACACTACTGCACTTGACTTACATTATGCCACAATTGGTACCCACTTAATTTTTTGGCGCATGGTTCACAAAATCCCTGAAGTTAAAAACTGCAGTTTTGTTCTGTACTTCAGTATGTGAGAACTCATCTAAACTCAAGTGGTTTCAGATTGCGGCCTAATTTGTCTTCCCCTTGTATGGAATGGTACGTTTCAGAAATCTGTACAAATAGGTGAACAATTCATCGACTGAAGCATTTGGAACATACTTCTTTTTCCACCTGGAGGCTTGAGGGTCCATTTTCCCTGTTGTTTCTGCAGGTACCGCCGGCTCGCTGTCTCCCATCGATGAATCATTGCCAACATATGTTCCTCCACACCTTTCTGTATCCCGTCAAGGTCCTCAAGTTCTTCATGGTCCACCCAACCTTCACCTTCTGCAACTTCCTCGCAGATCCTGCCTGCCCACAAGGGCCAAGGCAAGTGTCGGGGAAGGTGCATGGCAACCCTGTAGGCTGTCGGCATCATCACGAACCGGAGAACCGTCCAATCTCTCTACGTCACATCGCCAAATATTGACAGGCTGCTAACACATGATGAGTCAAAAAGATTACATCCTAAACATAATCCAGGCACCATACACATCAAGGCACATACCTGTTGGCTAGACCTAGGGGAAACTCCATGGTAGCTGCACACCCGCATCAAGCTGGCAATCATGCTCATGGGTTCAGGCGCCCATGGGTGCATCCGACCCGAATGGGTAGTGTATGGGTCGTCGACTTCACCCAGTAGTAACCCGATTAGTCGTGGGTAGGTATGTGCATAACTTCATACCTATGGGTAACCTGATTAACTATTCTTACTGATTATAAATATTTCATTTTATATAAGACGTATTTTTAGAAAAAATATACACTGTATACTCTATAATGGGTAGTAAATCTGTACAATTATTTAAACGCAAGCCAACAATGTACATCAAGTACGATGCAAAAAAGAAGTACAGCAAGTAGGCCAAAAGTTCAAGACTAACACAACGTGTATGCATCTCTAGTCCTTTGCTCTTCTCTTCATCCACACAAATCAAGTTTCATGGGCCAAAAATTGCTCAGTCATCGGTCCATAGGAGATGTGCCAGTTGCATGGCACCAAGACCCTGGTGCATCCAATTCATGTAAAGCAAGTAACAACCTCGAGTAGCTAACGAGATAGGGATGGGCAAGCCCTGTAGGCGGTGTTGCAAGGAACAATTTTAACATACAAAAAATATCCTTATTCTATGGAATGTTGGTCAGAGATAAATGTGAAGTATGATAATTATTCTTCAATGCTCACCTGATGGTGCCCAATTGGGTCAAATTACCTGATGGGTTTGGGCATGGGTCTAAACTTAGACCCATGGGTAGGGTTGTGGGTTTGGGATGAACCCGATAGTGGGTTCGGGCATGTGTCTGGTTGAGGTCGACCTGACCAAACCCGAACCAATTGCCAGGTCACCTAGTACCAAAAAATGGCCCCAGCCCAAGGTTGAAGATGACTGGCTCTGTTTACACAGTTCTCGACCACCTTACCCTACATGATGCTTAACCATGTGTTCTTCTCTAGTTTGGCCCATGCAACCACGTTCATCAACTCTTGGGCCTTACCAAAAAATTCTGTACCACTGTCCAGGCAGGACTCATTTTCGTGCACCAGCAGTACATAAGTTGGGACGTCAAGAAAGCCGCAAGCACTGTTGCAGGCAACATTTACAACCCAGCGCTTCTGTTGGCTGGCGGGCTAGACATACCCCATCGCGATAAGCTGAATGCAATACCTCATTTTCCACTCCACCTTATCTTACACGATATTAATTTCGGCACACACCCCACACTCAAACTTGAAGGTCCAGGTACGAAGTTCATCTGTACTCCCGAGCCAAATCGCCTACCCACATTAAAAACCCTCATTTAAAATATTTTTGAGCTGGAACAAGAGAATCCATTTGTGAAATTAACTAGTATCGTTTTTCTTTGTATGTTTGTTTTTGTGTCCATGTGTGTTGCTTATTTGTTTGCTTGTGCAAAACAGTATGTTGGTTTATGTATGTGTGCTAGAAAGTGGTGAAAGACTTAAGGTCCTAACTCGTAAGTACAGTTGACATGCACCATAGCTTTGCACACTCTCATGAATCATAAAATGATTATATTTTTCCTGTGAAATTTTAAATTTTAATGACCTCAGACTCTGAATTGTTGAAATATCATAATGAATCACAGTGGTAGATTCACTGGTGAGTACTAGTACTATATTTGTATTCGCAGCAGGAGTGCTTTCTTTGTCATGTCATACTTCTTTGTAATTTACTATTTTTGTTGCCATTTTTTGTAGTCCAATAAGGCTAAGTGCTTCACATACTAGTTTAGTAACCGTCTGTGACTCAAAAAGTTTCTCCAAACTCCTCCCTAACCTAATTGACAAATCAACAATAACATTTCACATCTTGGAGAGGAGTCACATTTATAATGGACTTGTGTGGAAACGAGCTCATCAAACATCTCAAAGAAGCGCAATTAGAGAAATGGCATCACAAAGGATCTTAAATACTAAATCGTATGACAATCACTATTTATTTATTGGCATTGTACAAATAAATTCTGTACTATTTTCTTCTCTTAAAAAGGACAGCCACTGCTGTTTACACACGCAACTTTTTCTTAGTATTACTTTGTGAATGAAATGCTCATATGCTTAGCTGCAACAGCTTTCAAAGTTGATCTCCACTTTTGAGTTACATTCTTTTCTTTACACTCTGATGACCCTGTTTCATTTTCCTTGGTAAATATAGCCAATTGTTGCTGTGCCTGCATTCCTTTGTGCCGATGCATTTCAGAAGGTGCTTCCTTTCTGTACTGGTTTTGCTGCAGGGTGCATGATATGGATTGTTATTGCAGAGGTTCTTCCTGATGCTTTTAAGGTGACTACCCTTTCGTCATCAAGAAATTGTTAACTGAAGTTGTTGTTTTGCTCCGGAAGGATCTCTGAGTATTTCTGTGTTACATGCAGGAAGCGACTCCATCTCAAGTAGCCTCTGCTGGAACACTTGCTGTTGCTTTTATGGAAACATTAAGTACCGTGCTTCAGGGATTCACGGATGGCCACGGGTAAGTTGCCTCTTATATTATTTAAGGATCTTACTTGGACTAGTACAACTTTCAACTGATGCTGTTGATTTGTTCTGATCTAGCTTGGAAGATACATCAGGCTTTTTGGTATCACTTGTATTTGGTCTTGGTCCACTTTTTGGAGGAATTATACTTGTCGCGTTCTCGCTTGCCTTCAACATGCCACACCCTCTTCTTACTGGTGTAGCATCTGGCATTGCCTTCCGTCTTGCTTCATGGAGGCCATTGCAACTTGTGATGTCCTTAAAGATGGGTCTCTTCACCACCTTGTTCCTCCTGCTAGGAGGTTCCGTCTTCTACCATCTCGTGGAAGCAAGCATCCTTATGGTTGCTAAACACAAGAAATCATCCGTCAATGTCATTACATCTTCCAGCGGGCTCTCTCTTAGTGTCCTCACACAGCAATCGCTCCTTGCTTGCGGTTGCGTCTTCCTTCACGCCTACGCCGAAGGGCTTGCACTTGGTGTGGCGGCACGCAAGGCATCTGGTCTAGGCCGCTACATGGTTCTTCCAGTCTCTCTTCACGGCCTACCACGGGGTGCTGCTGTTGCTAGTTGTGTATATGGTGCCACTGATAGCTGGCGAGGAGCCTTGGCAGCTGCAGCTCTGACCGGGTTTGCGGGACCAAGCGCGGCCATTGGTGCAATCCTTGCGAAGATTGGCTATGATGGACTGGACTATTGGATGGTGATTGCATGCGGGGCTTTGATCCCGAGCTATGGCCGTGTCTTCAGACGCTCGCTGCGGCTGGACGCGAGGAACAGCGTCTGCGGGCTCCTGATAGGTTTTGGTTTTGCTTGGGTGTGCTTGATGTCCACCAGATTCATCTGCTTGCACACCCCTTACTGCAATTCAGCTCCAGAAGCGGTCACATGATGTGTTCCTGTCAGATAGTCACATGTAACATCAATGTAACGATAATACTGAAATTATAAGAGGGATATCCTTTCCTTGTATGAACAAAGTGATGAAAGGGAAACGAACATTAGACAGTGATTTTGCCTGGAATAATCTTGCAAATTGTGCCACCACAACACAAAAGAAAAGACCGCCTGCTACTTTGGTGAATGTTCATTTAGGTGTAATATCCCTTGGCCTCAGTATGATGGCTGAGCACGAGCAGAACAGGTGAGAGCTTCGGGGAGAAGAAAGCATACGAGAGAGAGAGCTGATTCGAAAGTCCTCTTATGAACAATAGTAATAAAAACATGTTTTTTTTTCAAACTTGTCAAATATTTTGAGTGCTTGCAAAGTTTTGTCGTTGAACATTCATGAAGTTTCATCACGGAATGACATTCAAGAAAGCTCATGAATGTCATTTTATAATAGCTTTGCAAGCAGTCAGAAACTTTTCGAGATTCATCACTGTTTAAGATCAATTTTGAAAATTGTGTGGCGCATGATAATTGTGTGGCGCATGATGAGTGGCAGTGAGCGTATGTTCTTTCCAACGGCGATATCTTTTCAACGGCGCGTATCATTTGCTTCAATCCGACGAGCGGTTTAGAAAAAATCATGAAAATATGCTTGCTGCCACTTGTCGTGCACTGTACAATTTTTAAAACTGTTCTTAAACTATGACAAATCTTGAAAAGTTTTTAACATGGGGTAGTTTCACCTATTTCATAGCTTTCCAACAGCGTATCACACGTCTTGGTCCGATAAACGGTTTAAAAACTGGATTGAAAACAGTACCCGGAAAAAGGCATGTGCAGTTTTCTATGACGAGAAGTTCACTCGTCTTAATACTGTAGTACTCTTACTTCAACAATGTCGTGCACTTGCATTGAACATGTAGTTCAAAAGTGTGTGTAAAATAACTATTATACTAATGTTAGCAGAATAGGACAAATATTTCTTACCACCAGTGGTAGTTACCACCACTCGTGTTTTTTATGTTGTACTCTCTTCGTTTCAAAATAGATGACTTAATTTTGTACTAACTTTAGTACAAATTTGAGTCATCTATTTTGGCACGGAGGTAGTATATACTATCTATCAAAATTAAGAGTATGTATGTGTAATATGTAGTATATAATAACGTTTAGGTGGTATGCACCATATTTTGAACATACTCTTTTTTATGTACAAATATGTACATATTTCATAAATATAACAAAAAATATGGGCTTATACATAATTTTATTTTGTAACTTACTTTGAAATATCTTAGATGTAGTATATAAATATATGTAAATGATAAAGTAATATATATACTACTATATTATAGTATATGAGACATGTGAGGTTATTATCATCGGGTGACAAGTTGTATTTTCTTCAGAAAGTCTATTCATCACCCAGGGTGCAAAATAAGTTATTCCTCACCGAAGTAATCTTACGATCATTTCATAATAAATTTGCATTTGAAATACAAATAGTTACATTTATATTAATTCATTGCGTAAAATTTGACAAAAAAGGTCACAAGACCAGAAAATTGCATTTTATGTACACTTTACAATATGTTTTTACATCTATAATTTAATGTAACACAAAATATTTTTACGGTGATTATATTTTTTTACGTTTTCTTTTATGTTTGAAATAAAATAAAACTTACGGAACGCAAAATTACGGTGCATTGATGTTAAAATAGGGAGGGGGGGGGGGTGAAGAATTATTCCTCAACCAGGGTGTGTGTGTATGACAAGTTTTTGCTACCACCGGTGGTAGTTACCACCACTTGAGTTTTGTATGTTATATGTAGTATCTATCAAAACGGAGTATATACGTGTAGTATGTAATATGTAAAAATGTTTAGGTAGTGTGTGTGTATATACATGTAGTATGTAGTATCTATCAAAACGGATTATATATATACTATTCATCACCTAGGGTGCAAAATAAGTTATTCTTCACCCAAGGTAATCTTACGATCACTTCATAATTCAATTACATTTGGAATTCAAATAGTTACATTCTTATTGATTCACTATGTAATTTTTTGAGGGGGGAGCATAATAATTTTAAATTTTTTCCTACGCACTTGCAAGATCATGGTGATGCATATCAACGAGAGGGAAGAGTATCATCTACGTACCCTCGTAGACCGTAAGCGGAAGCGTTATGACAACGCGGTTGATGTAGTCGTACGTCTTCACGATCGACTGATCTAGCACCGAAGGTACGGCATCTCCCCGATCTGCACACGTTCAGCTCGGTGACATCCCGCGAACTCACGATCCAGTAGAGCTTCGAGGGAGAGTTTCGTCAGCACGACGGCATGATGATGGTGATGATGTTGCTACCGGAACAGGGCTTTGCATAAGCACCACTACCATATAACCGAGGTGGATTATGGTGGAGGGGGGCACCGCACACGGCTAAAAGATCAATGATGTGTCTATGGGGTGCCCCCTCCCTCGTATATAAAGGAGTGGAGGAGGGGGAGGGTTGGCCCTCTCTATGGTGCGTCCTAGGGGAGTCCTACTCCCTCCGGGAGTAGGATTCCCCCTTCCAAGTAGGAGTAGGAGAGGAAGGAAGGAGGAGAGAGGGAGGAAGGAAAGGGGGGGCGGTCCCCCTCCCAATTCGGATTGGGCTTGGGGGGCATGCCTCCCTCTTTTCCCTTCCCTCTCCTCTATTCCACTAAGGCCCAATAAGGCCCATATACTCCCCGGGGGGTTCCGGTAACCTCCCGTACTCTGGAAAAATGCCCGAACCACTCGGAACCATTCCGATGTCCAAATATAGGCTTCCAATATATCGATCTTTACGTCTCGACCATTTCGAGACTCCTCGTCATGTCCGTGATCAAATCCGGGACTCCAAACTACCTTAGGTACATCAAAACACATAAACTCATAATACCGATCGTCACCGAATGTTAAGCGTGCGGACCCTACGGGTTCGATAACTATGTAGACATGACCGAGACATGTCTCTGGTCAATAACCAATAGCGGAACATGGATGCTCATATTGGTTCCTACATATTCTGTCTTTATCGGTCAACCCGCATAATGGTATACGTTGTTCCCTTTGTCATCGGTATGTTACTTGCCCGAGATTCGATCGTCGGTATCTCAATACCCAGTTAAATCTCGTTACCATCGGGTCTCTTTACTCATTCCGTAATGCTACATCCCGTAACTAACTCATTAGCTACATTGCTTGCAAGGCTTATTGTGGTATACATTACCGAGAGGGCCCAGAGATACCTCTCCGACAATCGGAGTGACAAATCCTAATCTTGATCCATGGCAACTCAACAAACACCATCGGAGACACCTGTAGAGCACCTTTATAATCACCCAGTTACGTTGTGACGTTTGGTAGCACACAAAGTGTTCCTCCGGTATTCGGGAGTTGTATGATCTCATAGTCATAGGAACATGTATAGTTATGGACAAAGCAATAGCAACAAACTAAACGATCATCGTGCTAAGCTAACAGATGGGTCAAGTCAATCACATCATTCTCTAATGATGTGATCCCGTTAATTAAATGACAACTCATGTCTATGGTTAGGAAACATAACCATCATTGATTAACGAGCTAGTCAAGTAGAGGCAAACTAGTGACACTCTGTTTGTCTATGTATTCACACATGTACTAAGTTTCCGGTTAATACAATTCTAGCATGAATAATAAACATTTATCATGATGTAAGGAAATATAAATAAAAACTTTATTATTGCCTCTAGGGAATATTTCCTTCAGTCTCCCACTTGCACTAGAGTCAATAATCTAGATTACATTGTAATGATTCTAACACCCATGGATTCTTGGTGCTGATCATGTTTTGCTCGTGAGAGAGGCTTAGTCAACGGGTCTGCAACATTCAGATCCGTATGTATCTTGCAAATCTCTATGTCTCCCTCCTTGACTTGATCGCGGATGGAATTGAAGCGTCTCTTGATGTGCTTGGTTCTCTTGTGAAATCTGGATTCCTTTGCCAAGGCAATTGCTCCAGTATTATCACAAAAGATTTTCATTGGACCCGATGCACTAGGTATGACACCTAGATCGGATATGAACTCCATCCAGACTCCTTCATTTGCTGCTTCCGAAGCAGCTATGTATTCCGCTTCACACGTAGATCCCGCCACGATGCTCTGCTTGGAACTGCACCAACTGACAGCTCCTCCATTTAATAAAAACATGTATCCGGTCTGTGACTTAGAGTCATCCGGATCAGTGTCAAAGCTTGCATCAACGTAACCGTTTACGACGAGCTCTTTGTCACCTCCATATACGAGAAACATATCCTTAGTCCTTTTCAGGTATTTCAGGATGTTCTTGACCGCTGTCCAGTGATCCACTCCTGGATTACTTTGGTACCTCCTTGCTAAACTTATAGTAAGGCACACATCAGGTTTGGTACACAACATTGCATACATGATAGAGTCTATGGCTGAAGCATAGGGAACATCTTTCATTTTCTCTCTATCTTCTTCAGTGGTCGGGCATTGAGTCTGACTCAACTTCACACCTTGTAATGCAGGTAAGAACCCTTTCTTTGCCTGATCCATTTTGAACTTCTTCAAAACTTTATGAAGGTATGTGCTTTGTGAAAGTCCAATTAAGCGTCTTGATCTATCTCTATAGATCTTGATGCCCAATATATAAGCAGCTTCACCGAGGTCTTTCATTGAAAAATTCTTATTCAAGTGTCCTTTTATGCTATTCAGAAATTCAGTATCATTTCCGATTAACAATATGTCATCTACATATAATATCGGAAATGCTATGGAGCTCCCACTCACTTTCTTGTAAACACAAGCTTCTCCAAAAGTCTGTATAAAACCATATGCTTTGATCACACTATCAAAGCGTATATTCCAACTCCGAGAGGCTTGCACTAGTCCATAAATGGATCGCTGGAGCTTGCACACTTTGTTAGCACCTTTTGGATCGACAAAACCTTCTGGTTGC